ACAGATGTCTACCAGATATTATAGTTCATCTTTACCACTAGTGACACCATGGAAAGTAACCAAGCAATTTCATGTGTCTGCTTTAAGCCTTACTCCTTGCTTCTTTATAGAGCTAAAATTGTAGTTGTCATAGGTTTTCATATTAAGTTTCTCATTTACACTGTTTATGGTTTCAACCAAGGGGCTTATGATTATAGTATGTTTTCACTAAAATGAGAATGACTTGAAGTTTGGATGTTAGCAAAGATGATATTTAAGAGTATATATTGTAGTTAATTGTTAGGCTATTACTGCTAACATAAACACTGAATGCTATATTCAAGCACTTTTAAGTCTGTGAATATTATTAAATCTTCTGTCACTTTCTAGTTGTAGAACACATTTTTATTCAGGTCAGTTTTAAGGTTAAAAAATGGAACTTGTTAACATTTTAGTTTGGCAAATGATTTTTAAAAAAGTTTCTTTAGTTGAGCTTTTGAAAAATTTATTTAATTCAGCAAGGTCAAAGCTACAGAGTCTTTTTTGCAGCCAACTCAAAACTGACTAGAAGCTTTATGATTTTAAGTTGTTTCCAGCCCCCATCGGATGGTGGTACATGTCTTTAGAATATGGAGGGACGTGTAAAGGAGCATATTTTAAAGGTACTTCCATTTAGTGAATTTAATACCTATGTCAGAAGTCGAAGTTTTTACTTCAAGTAAAAGTTCTACAGATGATTAGTTTAAAGCGTGTGTTCAAAATTCGAAGTTCTTTAACTTCTTCAGCTATGAACATCTATTTTCAGGGTTTGTGGTTAAAGATTAGCAAAATTGTATCCACTGTTTAATCGTTTCTGTCCTTGTATTTGCTTTATGTGTAAATGACTATATAAGCTTTGAGATGTAACTGCACTGAGTTTCTGTAAATGCTCAAACAGGATAATCTTTGCATAAATTGCGCAGATATATTTAGAAGTCCTAAATAGATTGTGCCAAGAAAAATTTGTCCAACAACTTAGTGCTGAAATTTGCTCTTCAGAGAAGAGCTGCCTTCCTTCTCCCATTCATTCCACATTTAGATGTATGGCGGGAGGGCTTCTGAAATGCACGCTCTGTAGATGTGTTTCGCATGGCGTTGTCAGAAGTCCTCCTAGCACTAGCTGTGTTCTGTGGGTAGGATACTTCATGTTTCTCCTGTATTGTGTAAATTTGTGAAAACTCAGAAATAATTATCACATTTCTGTAAGCTTTCTTACGTGGTCTTAAGTTTCAAGTTGAGGTGACAGTTTGTCACTTAGCCATATACCTGTGAATCTGTAGGCATTTATACCAAAACCGTGTTTTCAGTTCTGCTGTCAAGGAATGCAGTTATATATTCTGGTATTGGAAATGTAGGTCAAGCAGGATTCAAGTGTTCATAGACTTTAAAAGAAATAAAAAACTAGTGTGAGAATTCACAGCGATTGGGAGAAGTTAACTGTCAGCTCTGAGGAAAAAACTTATGTTGTGACATTCCACTGAGATACGGAACTTCTGGCACAGCAAGAATTCACTTGCATTTTAGCACAGGACTGACGAGCTGCAGAGGTGAGGGAAATGTAAAATATTTTACAGAGATTCAGCTTTGACAAAAGGGGCTTTTTGGAGTCAGGAGGACACAAAGCTTACATTAACATATATGCTTATATATCAATGCCTTTGTACTACTGATTATCTTTAGTTTCATTATTTCAGCACGGTCAATAAGCAGTTATCTTTAAAAACAACCTGGAACTACGTTTAAAAAAAAAAACGTGGAAACAGTACCAAGAATTAGAACTATTTCCATGTTGTTTTAAAGGTAGTTCCAGGTTGTTTTAGAAGATAACTGCTTATCAGCCATGTTGAAATAACAAAACTAAAGATAGTCCCAAGACTTAGGACTATCTCCATGTGCACGGAAAACTATGTAAAACATTCATGTTCAGCAACAGTAGTACTTTTCGTGCTTGTCCCAAAACTGAAAGAAAACCACCATGGGAGCTTTCTGATTGAGTAGAGCATGCTGCAGTAGAACTGTGCCCTTTCAAAGCATTTTGGATTTTTTTTTTTTCTACAGCAAAACTTTTTCTAGGAAGTCTTTATTGATGTGACCTACATTACTGAAATACTTTTAAGTTCTGCTTTGAAATTAAAGCTTCATATCTGCATAGATGATAACTCTCCTCCTTAAAAGATGATGTACATATTTGGGGAGCACAAAGCAGTGTTTTAGCATTATAAAGCCTAGTTGCACAAAGGTTTAAAACGGACCTTGTACCCAAAGAATTACTTAACTCCTTTTGAGATAGTTAACTTTCAGATAATGTTGCTTTATAGTATGTAGTTCCATCAGCGTGAATTGGAGTAGATGTTAAAAGTTCGAAGCACTGATTACCCAGATATTACCCAAAGTCAAATGGATAGCGTGAGTAGTGAGATAGCAGAATACAATTCCCATTTTTAAATCCTGCTTTACTTTAGTGTATTCAAAACATTTTTATATTTTACCATGCATGTCTATTGCGTGCTTCCACTGCCAGAAACGAAGTAATACAATTCACAGAAAGAAGCCTTTGTAGACATGAATTTCTAAGGTGTAAAGAAGTTGGGAAAACTTTGTCTTCTGCTTCCAGCAGCGCAAGACCTTTCACTTTGGATACCCAAAACTTGCAACACAGAATGATGCTAGGTGAAGTTACAATGTCAGCCAGTGGAGCAGTTTACAAATGAACCACAAATGCATGTTACGTATTTTACTTTTCCATTTCTCTGCAAGATGCATGACCAAGTGGGCCAATATTAGGGATTAACCGTGATGGAGCTCGCTCTTACAGCCTTCTGCTCTCCACAGCAAAGTTAAGTCTACAGTAATGACCATTTGCCAGACATATGTGTTATCTCAACATATATGTATATAGCAATGATCAAAATATAATTAAGAAAATCTTCCTTAGTGAGCCTGTAACTAAGCTAAAGTGTCACACCTACAGTTTAGTCCAGTTTTTGCCAATTTTAGTTCTTTTCCCCTACAATCTACAGAGGTAGCAAAGCATGTTTTCTGTGTACTCAGCATTGTTTTTTGCAAGAGCCTTTAGTACCTACCAAGTAACTGACTTCAGCTGAATCGAAGACTTCATTAAAAGTCCTGATGAGATACCTTCTGAATGCTGTGGGACAATAGGGAACAGATCCAGCTGTGTCACTGCCCACACCTTCTATAGAAAGCAAGTTTGCTGTGGTAAGCAGGTTCTTTCCATTGTGTTACTGAGAAACAAACCTGCAAGGACATGGAAGCAGATTAGTCAATTCAGTTTTATTCTGCTGCTTCTCAGGACAGCTTGACAACTGAATGAAAGCCAGTCAAGTCCAAAATAAGGCAGCTGTGAACTAAAATAGTACTGGAGACTTGCTGGCACTCAAACTGGGTTGAAGATCACCTCGCAAAGTGTCAGCGGCATTTGGTCTGGGACAAGGCGGGAGACAAGCGAAACCTACTTTTTTAATTTATCATTAAAATTATTGAAAGGCTTCCAGAAAAAAAAAAGGGCTTGATCAAATGAACATAACAGATCACTTGCCCAACAGGAAACCATTACTCTCCATAGTTGTTTGAGGGAGAGCATGCTGAAAAAAAGGCTTCTCCCTCTTCATCCTGATGTTGTATCAAGTTGACTAAACTTTCTAAGAAAGATGAAAGTGAAATCTTGTTTTCATCGTGGCTTGTTTTGCAAAGCTGTTGGTAAGTCATAGTTTCTGACTCGTAGAAAAGCTCTATTTCAAAGCTTGCTTTTTCACTCCCCAAACATGAAGAATACCTGCTTGCTGAGGGACGTAGTTTGAAATTCATCTGTGTTCTGCTGAACTGTCATGGAAAGTCACAGTTAGCATGGCTCAGATACCTTCTGTCCCATTAGACATGTACTAAGTGGATGGATGCATCTTTAGTGAATTTTAATGGTCACGGGATGTGTGTGGTGTTATTTCCTCCTACTGTGCTGAATTACCACAGTGCAACTGGAGAGGAGACAACAGTAAAATTAAGGCATGATTACAGGATTCCTTTAAGTGCAATGCAGTCCAGACAGAAGTTTTGCAGGTAGAAGAGATGAAGGTTTTACGCAAACTATTTTCAGTCTCTGAAGGTATCCCAAAAAGACCAAAGAAGTCAGAATTCATTTTTTTCTGTCTCAACTTGAGTGTATTGGAAAATGTGGGAGAAAATCTCGTAGTTGAACATAAAATCAGTGAAAACATTTATAATTTATTACAATAGCTTTTATTATCTTCAGTGAAAATATTTGTAAGGCATTATGGTTACTCTTACTAATCTTCACGTGCAAAAAAATTGTTGACTATAAGGCTGATCATCTATTAGTAAACTTTGTGACATTTTCTTTTTTGTAGTTTAGCTTTAATTTTCCAACCTTTAAACATTTAGCGCTGACCATTTGTAACTCAAGCCTTTGTATGCAAAGGGTCTCAGATTAATCACCTAGAAGCCAGGAAGTGCAGTCTCTGCAGGGGGCTGAGGGCCCATGTGAGATATTTAGCCAAGCACCAAGAAAATGCTTTCTTTCATGTGAGGTGACTGTCCCCCTTGTCCTGTAGTTCCCCACCTTACTAAGGTGAAATTAAATCGAGCTCTTAAAGATGTTCGGCTCCTTCAGTAAACAGCCTAATGCTTAATTCTGCTGTGGATCACTAGAACTGATGCAAGCAGCTCTTCTGAGGGCAACAGGGAACCACGTGCTGTCAAAGTGCATACACAGAAGAGTTTTTCACAGTGCGTCTCTAGTTTTATATTTAGATGCTATTAAACTTACTGTTAAAAATTAGGTTTTACTGTTAATAAGTTCAGGTATTGTAAGTTTTTGTATCACTGTCCATCTCCAGAGTGTCTGAGCGTACGGCCTTCAGAAAGCACCTTTGTCTTTGTATTAAGTTTCATGTTAAAAAGTACAGAATTTGTATTCCGATACTAAGGATTTTGTTCTCTTTTAGGATCGAAATAGAATGTATGACAGTCTGAATATGCACTCTTTGGAAAACTCCCTTATTGACATTATGAGAGCAGAGCATGATCCACTTAAAGGTATGTTATTATGCTAAATAAAGAAAAAAGGGTCATCCATTCTGCATATTGGAATTATACTGATTGCTAATTTAGATTCTAGGGTCATATTAAAATAGCAAATGAATTATTTTCTCAACTGACATGAAAGGTCAATTTCAAGGTGTATTTTATTGAAAACATTGGTTTACAGTTGTTTAAAACTTTAAGTTAAGCTTTAGTGGTTTAATAGGTTTTTCTCCCTCTCCATCCTTCTCTCCTTTCCCCCAAGAAATTCAGTTAATTTTATTTGAAATTTACTTGTCTGCTGTAGGAAATTCTACCTCAGTTTGTAAAAAATACGCTGTTCTGTTAGAGGTAGCCAAAAGAGGGCGGGAGGGGAATCAAACCAGTACCAGTGTTAGCTGGTTAATTTTCCCTTTCTTTGCAGTGGAAGCTGAAAAGAAAATAAAGTCCACTGATAAATTCAGTTTTTGTCCTTTCAAACATTTTTCAAAGCCACTGGAGGATAATAATGCGTCTAATTGTTCAGTTTCTGTTTGTCTGAAGAAGTTCAGAAATACACATGGCTGCAGAATACTGGTTCCTCTTACTCTTCTGGGCTCTGTTCAAATCATTTGGCCACAGCAGTAAGCACATAGCTAATATTTGTGGACTTCATTTTTAACTCCTCTATTCACTCTGCAGTAACTTACTCTTTTGAATTCTGTTTCTGCATACTTATTGTCAAGTGTAGTTTACCGCTGAACTTTGGGGCAGGGAGCCCAAGCCATTCTATTTGGCTTGATCAAATGTTACTTTATTTGTGGTGTTTTAGTTAGCCTAACACAATCTAACTTTTAAAATAATCCAAGACTGGAGGCTTGCTTTGCGTAAATTAAGACTCAGTATTGAAGCAATTGGGAAAAAAAAAAAACAACTTCTTTCTTTTTATGTCGTTATTTACTCCCATCCATTCTCCATTTCTAGAGGCTCCTAGACTTAATATATATTACATTAGCTCATAAGGGCCTGTGTTTCTCCTAATTTGAAAGACACTTTGCTAGAGTCTGCTCATGGTTCACTTAAGATCTGTAATCAGTTGTAAGACCTGTAGTATTCAGATAGCATGTAATAGTGTTGTAGGATTTACAGTGTAAAGCCAAAAGTTTGGGGTTTTTTTCCTAGCTGAAAATCTCTACAAAGCATCAGTAAGTAGGTGGCATTTAGTTAGCCAGTTAGTTTTTCTATGCTGTAGAATGGAAGCTGAAATTAAATTTTCTTAGATGTTCTTAAATCTGATCTCTTGTTTCTTACTGCCTACAGAGGATTAATTCCAGTTTTAACAGTTTTATCATTTAAATCCATTATGGAATTCAGTTTGTTTCTATTCTGATGTTTACAAAGCATTACTAAGTCACACACCTGTGAACAGTTAGCCCCGTGGTAAGTGCTGTGGACTAAAAGCATGTGTGTGTCATCAAAGACAAGGTAACTAGTTAGATCATCCATGTTTCAAAGCCTTGTTGCTTCACTTTGCCACACTCAGGTGGTAACTAATATTCCTGTGGTTATCTGAACCTAAATCCACCAACAGGAAAGATATTGAAAGATAAAGCTGCTGCTAGGCATAAAATTAGAGAATGCAGATCTTCTGTCACAATATACTGTCAGTGGCACCTCTCACATTCCTCACAACCAATCAATTTCTTCATTTTTTTCTGTGCACACTGACATGACAAATGTAAGTGGTTGCTTTGTTCCCCATCTTGCTGTTTTCATTTTGGCTTTATAATGCAGAAGAGTTTTCAGAGACACTGTGAGCACAGAAGAGACACATTTTTATTTTTATCCATCTCTTCATATTTCATTATGATACAACAGATGAAAACGATATATTTCCAATAATAGTTTTTCAGTGAGAATAAGACAAGACAAAGCTTTAAGATTTTAAAGTGAAATGGGTTTATACATAGACACTTTCAAAAAACTCAGTCCAGGTTCCATAGTTGTCCTGTGCTTTCTAGGGACATGAGTATGTCAGTTTAGTCTACAGTTAAGAGGTATTTTTTTTAACACTTTCACCGTCATACTCTCGCAGTGAAAATTCTGCTAAGTTTTATGTTTGAACTAAAACAGACGGAAGCCATAGATATTGATGAATTCAAAGGAAGTCCATTTTTTTGTTCGAGTGCCAGAGAACAATGCACATGCCAACTGAATCTAAATAGAGTAATTGTGTTCTGTTATTTAAATTGATTGATTAAGATATTTTCTCTCTTTGGAATTTATTATTTCAACTGAAATGGCCACATTATTCATAGTAAGACATGAGAAATGCTTCCTACTGACTGAAAATGCGAAGAAATCACATCCTAGAGTAGCCTTTTAGTTCCTCTCTACCCCTCCTCTGTTTAGTCATCATTAGTTGGCATTTCTGTGATTTCCTAGCAATTTTAACTTTTTCTGCAAACCATGCAACACTAATTTTGTTGTTTCGGTCTCTGTGGTTTTTCCTTTCACCACAGAAAATCTGACATTTAAGAACCCATCATGTTTGATTGCAGAATGCACAGGATTAAGAATATTAGTGTTATTTGTTGTTCTTCTTGACATATAACGTACTTTGTTGTAACTAAAGAATATTTTGTAACTAGAGAAGATTTTATGACAAGTTTTTAAGTAAATCTTAGCACTCTATAACAATGCATCTTTTATATCTGACCACAGCAGTAAAATGAAAGTCCCTGGAATTTTAAGCACGTGTTTCAGATTTAGCTGCTTACAATATCTGGAGTATGACTAAGCATCTTGTCTCAGATTTTGCACAGTGCAGAACAGACACTGTGTGTACTAGCTCACAGCTTTAAGCTTTGTGTTTCAAGATCCATTGTAGAAGGAAGTCAAATTTCACCACTTTTGCTTTCATGAACTTGAAAAAACTTTATTTCAAATATGATTCACTGAACGCTGTTTATGCCTGCCAAAAAATTGTTTATAAGAGGGATAGTTTTGACTGCACTTAGACAAAATTTAGTCATTACTACAGACATGATCAAATGAAAGAAGTAATTTTTAGCTTTCAATAAGAAATTTTTTCAAGGTAGATTAATAGGGAATAGATGCTTCACTTCACTAGTCAGTGCAGCAGAAATAAAGATCGTATTAAAACTAATCTTTCCCATGCAGCTTTCTTGACATGCATTTCATAATAAGATATTAAGTAATGTTTAAGATTACCCCATGCAATCAGTGGAATATAAACTGAAGTAAAAATTAATAGAAGTTAAATTAATTCATTTTTACATCACTGTTCTTAAATACCCTTTTTATTTTTCTAATCGCCCTTAAAACTACTTTGAGAGAATTACCACATTGATAGCCAGAAACACACGGGTATTAGTAGTATAACTCTTTTCCAGACATATCTCTTGTGTAGATGCATGTTTTTCCTTATTCCTCCCCCAAATATCGATGCTTCTTGACACCAAGATGTAGAAAACTTGGATTCTAGACATTTCAGAAACAGGAGAGCCAATACATACGGGCTAAAACAGATTATGGAAAAAACTTAGAAAAAATGGTTATGTTTTGCATGGAATATGTATTGGAATTGAGAAGCAGGTGATATAATGGAATTTATTATCCACTGTTTTAAACATCTTTCTAGCAAAGACTAAGGTGTTTTCCATGTAATTTAAGGGCTTGTCTTTTGTAAAGGAACAAGTATTGATACTGTACTCAGTCTACAATTCATTTTGATTTCCTGAGCAACTCTTAGAGCTCTGCAAGCTTGATGTAAGACAGTACTGAACTTGCATTAGCCATCGTTATATTAGCAGGAGTAACAAGAAGGAATATTAACTCTGAATCACAGTTCTCAGTTATCACTGAACATGAGGAAGAACTTCTTCCCTCTGAGGGTGATGGAGCACTGGAACAGGCTGCCTAGGGAGGTTGTGGAGTCTCCTTCTCTGGAGATATTCAAGACCCGCCTGGACAAGGTCCTGTGCAGCTTGCTGTAGGTGACCCTGCTTCGGCAGGAGGGTTGGACTAGATGACCCACAGAGGTCCCTTCCAACCCCAAACATTCTGTGATCCTGTGTAACTTTGTTTAAGTTCTCTTCCGTTTCTTTGTGAGGGGCAAACCAAATTTTTTAGAACAGTTACGCAAGTATATTTTTTTTTTAGCTATAATTAATAAAACACTGTTATGTGGCTTATCTGCGGGGAAAAATCACTTGATGCACTTAGAAGTCTGTCTTGCCTTTTTTTTTTGTTTTATTTTCCCTTTAAATTTGTTTAGTTGAACTTCTCAACTGTTACACATCTTTCTTGTAAAAGCAACCTGCTGGCACATGCTTAGTGAAGTAAAAAGAAAAGCGTTGGTGACTCAGCAACACAGTAGAGAACATTTTCTTTCTTTGCGTATAGTAACTTTTGTTTTCAAAGAAATTTGTTTTTATTTTTTTTGTGTTTTGAAGCTCTAAAATTTGAAGTTATGCAGTTACTTCCTAGAGTAATTCAAACAGCACTCAGAGAAGAGTTTCTCTGGCTGAACGAAAAGAGTATGGAAGGAAAAACTTTCCTATTAGTCGTATAAAAGGCTTTGAAATGGTACATACAGATTGTTTCCTCTTTCTGCCACAGAAACTTTTTATGATGAAAGAATCTGTTCAAGACTGATAGACTGATTTGCCTAAATAGATCAGCTATCAGAGACAGCACATTTGGCCTCATTATGACTTACATAATTCTTACACAAGAGTTTGAAAGTATAGTATCTAGGCTTTCTGTAACTTGATGTCAAAACATAGGTTTGTGCTGTTGTCTGAACTATGCTGATGCAAAAACTGAGCTTTCTGAAACTGCTGCAGTCCTCAGCCATTCACTCTTCTGTAAAGTAGTTTGGGAAAAGCTTAACTTGGAAGCTTTTTTTCTTCTAGTCAGGAGATCCCTTGAAAGGAGGAATATGGGAAAGGAATTTGTAATTCTCAGTCTCTTCATTTAACCATTTAAGACTGCTTCAAGAAAAGGCAGAGGAGTAGACATGAAATATCAGTGAATCTGTGAGTCAGCAATGTTTAAAGCAGTCGTTACACTTAAATCTGTCCAAAATGTTTTAAGACATAGGGATTCCTCCAACAGTTTAGTTAAATAGGAATAGAAGGTACGTATTTCCAAATACAGATACGAATTTGTCTTCAAATGAAAAGTGAGTAAGCACAGCATCTGTATGCTCAGAAGAAGCTTACAAAAAAAACTGTTTCCATTGCCCATATTAGTAACATGAGATTACAGAAATGTAGCTAAAACTACGTTTGTTACTCTTTCCTCATGATTTGGATTAGCAAGACTTTTAACTGGATTTAGTGGATAAACTGGAGTACCAAAATTTATTTGCAAGCTCTTATTTTTTTTTGTCCTTACAGAAGAATACATTGTGAGAAATACAGACCAGGCAGTTCTGTTAACATTCATCACCCTTGGAAAGGCAAGAGGGGGGCTAAAATCAATAGAACTCTAGTTGCATAAGAAATGTCAAACATACCTGCTTCTCCTTAGTAATACTACTTTGAATATAGCCATGATACATGAGAGTTATTAATTAGTGGTAACATGATGAAGTTTAGTATTGTGTATGTTCATTTAACTAGAATAATCTGTTAAAAAATAGTGTAATCTGAGCTCTGTATGAGACTGACCTGGTACCCAGTTCCATGCTGGCAGTATTCTGAATTTATGTATATCATTAAATTCAGGTGGACACCGTAGAAGCACTGCATTTTGCTCAACAGAGTATTGTGAACCTAAGCTAATGTATCAAATAGCACTGATTTTATTTTGAAAAAGTAAGCAAACCTTCTACATTAAAAAAGTTTTTAATTGTAAGTCAAGGTAGTAAATGCAAGTTCACCAAAATGCAACAATACAATGTATGATTTCACTGAAATAACCATGTAAATAAGACTTAAAAGAAGTATCAGTATAGCTGTACGTGTACTGAATATGGTGTTACTCATTTTCCTTTCTAACCCTCAAATCATGCATTACCTGAGCTAGCAATTCATCTCCATAACACAGCAAGATTGATTTTCTTTGTATTGGTGTGATTCATAGGTTTTACGCTGCAGTAGTGGGCCCAGCTTCTTAGTGCACTCGCTCCCCACTACGTAATGAGGAGTGCTTTATTATTTCAACTTTGTCAGTTTTACACCTATGTTTCAGATGCAGCTTATTTGTGAAACTGTAAGGGGAAACGCAAAAGAATGCAAAACCGTAGTTGTAAACCCACTATTTATTATCTTCTAAAAAAGTTTTCCTCTCCAGGTGTTGACACTGGTGGGCTTCTCTCTCCTACTAGGCCTTAAATCTGATCTCTTTTTCTGTAGTAATTACAGAAAAAAATGTATTTTTTGTCTCCCTTGCTGAATAGGAACAGAAGATAAATGTATACAGACAGGGAGAAGGCCTGTCACCACAGACTCGAGGAGGTTCAAGATGATACAATAATTTCTCACAATTTCTGTTGTTACTCCAGATAGATAAAGCATTCTGATTTGCGAGAAACAGCTCGTATTGTTGCAGGTTTTTCTGTAGCTCCATATATAAACATGCTGGTGACAGTAAATAATCCTGTAAAATCCTCTCTGTTAGGCAAATGAGTACAACCTTCCCAGACCAAAGAACTAAGAAGTAAAGCAAAGTGACTTGTTTTATATACCAGGCTGAGCAAACCAGTAGCAGCTCCCAGCTTGCCATTTCAGGATGCCTTGTTTCTAATTTTTCCTGTTTTAACAGCATGCATTACTAGAAGGGCAGGATATTTATAGTTCCAGTAAACATTAGGTATAGTTGTAAGTGTTCAGCATGACAGAAAAATTGGCTTGTATGTTAAAACTGGACATCTTAAACGTAAGGAATGTGAAGACAGAGGCTCCTGCAAAGATTTTTGTTTTATCTTGCCTAAGCCTGCTCAAACATTCTGTAGAAGTTAGAGAAGACAGAAGAGTCCTTTTCGGTGGCATTCAGCTGCCCTCTTCCAGGAGGCTGCCCTTGCCCTTGATCACTTTCTCCACACTTTCAAATTCCAAAGCAAAGAGTTCCTACTTAATCTGCAGGTGTTTTGATACCATCCATTCTTAGAATCATGAAATCTGTGGGAAGAAAAATAGTACGTGGCTGTATGAAAATCTTTTTGCCACAATGCTTGTTAATAATGAGGCTGAATAAAATAAATTATCTTAATCTTGCTATTTTGAAGTTTTGTGTGTAAGAGTTCATAATTTTTTCTATAGTTTTTGGTAGAAAATTGTTACGTTGGTTTCCTAAAGGGGAAGAGCAAAACTGAAACCCTATTACTTACAGATTTTCAGCAAACAGTTTTTTTATTTAACCCCAGAAGTGTCTCTTGGGACACAAGAATACTGTTTCAAAAAATTTGCAGTCTTGCTGCGAATCACGTGGGTTTACCAACAGTAGGGGGAAAGAAATCCGACAGTGTATAATAGGAATTGTTAGACAACCTTAATATATGGATTGGTGATTTGGTTTTTTTTCTTTTTTTTTTTTTTTCCTTTTTTTCCTCTGTGTTTCTTTTTAGAAAGAGCAAGCCTTACTAGGGCATGACAGTGTTTTACTAATACTTACATCTTGCAAGCCATCTGCATATATATTCCCCTTTAAACCTGTGTGAGTTCTAAACACCCATTGCTTCCAGACTGGATTCTTCTTTATGCCTCCACAAACATTCTGTTTTCCTCCAATAGATTTAAATGTTTAAGTTACAGTATTTTTTCTATATATGCTTACGGATTAGAAGCAAGCAAGTATGTTTTAATAGCAAGATAGAGGGAAGTGTAGTTTTTTTGCACATTAAAGCACACTTTTTTTCCAAACACAGCAGCTATTGTAAATGTCTCTCTAGGTCAGTGTGCGCTACTGGTATGTTTGCAGCTTCCTGTAAACAGAAAATGTCTCCTTTAATAAAAAGGAATTTGTAGGGAACAGACACTTCAGCTGTGCATTTTAAACCATTCATTTAACTGTTAAAGTATAACATGCCATTGACGTAGTAAAATGCAATACTTGAAAAATTCTAACATCAGGATATGAAGGTTTAATATAATTTTTATTCAATATAAAATGTTGGAAACGTTATCTGTCATTCTTTAATCTTGTTAATTCTGTAGATAAACCAGTAGTCTAGTTTTGCCAGATCTACTGAAAAAATATTACATACAATGGTTATATGTAATACACCAAGATAGAGTCGTAAATTGGTTAATAAAATTTTAATGCTTTAATTCCTATTAACACGATTTTTCTTAAATTGATTCAGTAGAGGAGCACTAAGCTGTAGAAATGCCACTCTGTTAAGCAATGTGCATAGTACAGTTATTCACAGTCACTATGAAAGAGAAGACTAAAGCAGTCAGCACTATTTCTGGGTGTCATGAAACAAAAACTGGCTTTATCCTATTGGAGCTGATCCCAAAGCACATTGCAGATCTTATGACCAGAGAATTAAGGTTAAGAAGTCTGTTCTTGTCAGCTTTAACTTGGGTCAAGGGTATTGTTGGTTAATGTGCTTGGAGTTAAATATTAGCTCTTTATTTCCCTTAGGGAAACTGGAAATATGGTTTATATTTAAATTCTAAGCAGTGATTTTTCATTATTTTTTCCTAGCATAATAGCTGATACCTCTGCATTTATTCTGTTTTGTTCTTTGTTTTTTTGTTTTCTTTTAAGGTCGCTTGAGTTATCCACATCCAGGGACTGACAATCTTCTGATGTTAAATGGTAAGTGCTAATCTTCTAACAGTTTCTAATTATCTCTAGCTTAGCTTAAATCTGACATGGTGGTATAAAATTGTACTATTATATTCTGTTATTGAATTACTTCCCTCTAGTCTTCAACACTGATGGGACTGTTGCCCTTTTTCAGAGTTGAATGGCAAGAGCTAATCTTGCAACAGCCTTTCATTATATCTAGCTTATTTGAAATCCGAAATGCTCGTAACGATGTACTATTCTTTTTTGTTCTCAAGCAAACCAGCGGTACGTTCTCCAAAGATCTGCTAGAAATCTATTATACAGATACAGGAATTCGAAAAATAAGGCGGTCAGAAAGGCTTTTTTTTGCTATGGTGTAAATAAAGGTTGAACTAGATACTTCTATTACACTTATGTGAAATACCATTTTATTTTTGTTGGCTTTTTTGGAACTGGCTTTGTCAAATGTATTTCTAACTGCGAAATATACTGAAGTTAGAGTTCATGTTCATGTTCCTCTGCCAGTAGGTCAAACTTCATGAACATCTGCTACTCAGTGAAGGCATGAACTTTAGCCTTTGTTCGAGGCTAAAGAAGGAAGTAGAGCTTGGTAATCCATCTAAGTCAATAATAAATCAGGGGTTTTGCACATGAATGTTTTCTACATTGGGAAAAATTAGAACTATAAAGACACAGCTTCTCTGGATTAGAAGAAGTGGAAGCTGTTGTACACAAAGCAAGTACGCTTTTGTCATCGACACGATGGGTCAAAATGTTACCATTAAAGACCTAAGTATTAAAAAATACAGTCAGAATAGTTATTTCAGGTTTGTGGTTCTGTGGATATCTTTTTTTTTTAATTGCCTTATGTTTCTGCACAGTCATTTACATTTGTGCAAATGGGTATAAAATGTAAAAAATACATACTCACCCTTGTGTAACACTGAGTAAATGCTTAAAATGTTAAGGAAATTCAGGTTTAGCTTTATACTTGTAAAGGAAATTGTTGCACAACTGACATTTGAAGAATTAGGTCCTTTGGTATTGAATAGTTCTTTAACATAATGGACTATTTTGGTAAGTGAAAATGGCTACTTAACTACTGAAAGAAAATTAGTTTTTAGCCCACTCAGGCCATAATCCTGATTCCTGGGCGGAAATTACATTGAGTATCGATGTGCTTGATGTTACAGCATTACAACAGTTAACGTTCTGTATTTGACCACAACTATAAGAATTGTTCTGCAAACTGGTTTGTTCAGGCAGTGTATGTGCAGTTGTCGTTATCTGCTGATTTATAATGAAGTATTAGATGGGAAAGTATTAAAAACTAAACAGTCTTATGAGCAACTGTGAAATACTTCAATGCAATCAGTGTAAGAAATTTGTAATTTTTTAATTTGTTTGTTTTAATACGTCAAATGGTGAGCTTCCCTTTTTATGGTTTTACATGCTAAAAGAGCATGTGGGAGGCATTGTTACTCTATGGAATATCTAGGAAAAAAGTTTTTTGCTATTATCATGGACACTGGAAAAATGCATCTCAGTGGTACCAGTCTGTCCCGAGAACCTTACCACAGAGACGGAATATGCACTGACGAATATCTAGTTTTGTTATTAATGCTGATGGGGTTTCCACTGTGGTTTGGAATTTAGTGTTTAATGTGGCTGATGTCCTCTTTAAAAGCTGCAATACTATTTCCAGCCTTCAATAGGTGAGATAAAAATAACAGTTCGAGTATCTGAAAGACAGGTTCTGCAACACCTAATTTTTTGGTGTGCCCTTGAGAATTTAATTCGGAGAGTTGGTTTAGACATCTAAGCTTTCTAGCATGTACCTGTCAGTGCAGTCCAGTGCGATCACGTCAGAGCCACCTCAGGTTGGAGTGGCTAAACTGAACTCTGGATGGCTCAAGAACCAAAGCACCAGGAATACCTTCTGGGAAGCTCCAGCTGCTCAGACTCTGCACAACCTTTCTTTATTAGCAAGAACTGAGGGGTTTCCTGAAAATGTGCGGTAATGAGAATTACAGCTTGAACATTTGCCAGTGAAGTTGTAGACTTCAGTTTCCTTCTCTGCTTAAGTGAATTCCAGCTAACATTTCCCAGTATCCCTGTAGTTGGTGCTGTGAAGGGAGGAATAGGGAAGAGGAGAGTTGGTAATCCAGAGACTCACGTTTCAGTCCAGAAGGACTCGCTTTCTCAGTTAAGTGTTGTAGTTGCTACAGGGAGGAGCAAGGACACCAGACCTTCATGAAAGAAAAGCACCAGCATTTTTAAGGATCCGGAGCCCATCAGTGTGCGCACTAATACTTAATGCTGGATCATGATACTTGCTGGATTTTCTTTGGCTGGATTTTAGTGAACTGGTATCTCTGAATCCCAGTAAGGTTCTGGCATGAGCCAGGCTGGAATTCCTCAAGCTGTTTAAGCACTTCTGAATAAAACTTATTTTTAGCTAGTTTTTCCTCTTAAATGATAGATCTTTTCCAGCTCATTTAAAGTGTACTTACTGAACTGTACCTAATAGTAATATTTACAGTCTTCGTTATTTAAATTAATGAAATGAGCCAAAGAAAAGCTGATTTATGTGTTTTAATAAATTATATATCTGATAATTATATATCTGTTTCAGCTCAAGCTGTAAAAAAAGCAATGCATTTTTAATGACTATTATCTCTCAAAAGTCAGAAAAAGGTATTTTGAAATGGGTTTACCTGAGTATGTCTTTAATTGTCGACTTACAGAGAACCTTTCAGTAGCAAGTAATAATGCAAGCATCCAGTTTGTTGGGGTGTAGGGTGTTTTTTCCCCCTTATGGCGTTCCTTCCCTTTTATAGTTTTAATGCATTGAATTTTTTTAATGGCTATTGAAACATAATTCACCATTTGATTAGTTTAGCAAGGGACTATTAGACTTCCCATCTTAAAAATACTGCAGTTGGTTGTGCTTCTCAAAGAAGGTGGTTTACTTCAAACAGAAGTTATTAAACTTCCTGTACAGGACTTGCTAAATGAAACGTGGTGGGACAACTCTCATGACTGGCATGCTGTCATAGATGGCTACAGACACTTTAGGAAAGACAGGCCAACAAGGGGAGGTGGGGGAGTTGCTCTATATGTGAGGGAGCAAGTAGAATGCATTGAGCTTGGCCTGGGGGCAAATGAGGAACAAGTTGAAAGCTTGTGGGTTAGAATTAAGGGACAGGCTCATAAGGGTGACATTACGTAGGGTGTGTACTACAGGCCACCTGACCAGGAGGAGGAGGTTGATGAGGCCTTCTACAGGCAGCTGCAAGCAGCCTCACAGTCACAGGCCCTGGTTCTCATGGGGGACTTCAACCACCCTGACATCAGCTGGGAAGACCATACAGCTAGGCAGGCGCAATCCAGGAGGTTCCTACAGAGCATCGATGATAACTTTCTGATGCAAGTGGTGGAGCAACCAACAAGGAAAGGCGCGCTGCTGGACCTCGTGTTAACAAACAAGGAGGGACTGGTGGAGGATGTGAAGGTTGGAGGTAGACTCGGCTGCAGTGACCATGAAATGGTCGAGTTCAGGATCCTGCATGGAGGAAGCAGGGCGATAAGCAGGATCAAAACCCTGGACCTCAGGAGGGCTGACTTTGCCCTCTTCAAGGAGCTACTGGGAGGAATCCCGTGGGCCAGGGCTCTCGAAGGCAGGGGGGTCCATGAGTGCTGGTCGCTCTTTAAACAACACTTCTTCCATGCACAGGAGCAATGCATCCCCCTGAGAAAGAAATTTAGCAAAGGAGGCAGGAGACCTGCATGGTTAAACAAGGAGCTTCTAGCGGAGATCAGGCAGAAGAGAAAGGTCCATGGAATGTGGAAAGAGGGACAGGCCACTTGGGAAGAGTACAGAAACGTAGTGAGAGCATGCAGGGATGCGACGAGGAAGGCCAAGGCTCACCTGGAATTGAAGCTGGCAAGGGATGTCAAAAACAACAAGAAGGGCTTCTTCAACTACATCAGCAGCAAAAGGAAGGCTAGGGACAACGTGGGGCCGCTGCTGAATGAGGCGGGTGTCCTGGTGACGGAGGATGCGGAGAAGGCAGAGCTAATGAATGCCTTCTTTGCTTCAGTCTTCAGTGCTAAGACTGGCCCTCAGGAATCCCAGGCCCCGGAGGTAAGAGAAGAAGCCTACAAAGAGGACGACTTAGTTTTCATGAGACCTCGCAGGAGGCTGCTGCAGTGGGGATCTCCTGCACTCCAGCCCCAGAGACCTCACAGCACTTAGGCTGTAATGATTGGAGGAACGCAAGCAAAACCCCTTTGTGCACTAGCGGGTGGAGAGAGGACACTGTAGATGCTATGCTGAGAATGCGTGAAAATTTTCGAATGAAAGCCAGGGAGAGACAAGGAGCTATATCCATGCCCTGACCTCCGTCCCATTGCACATCTGAACCTGAACTCTCAGCTAATAACCCCTGAGCCACTAAGCTGCCTTCCCTGAGCATGCCTGCCTTCGCTGGGGAATTCTAGGAATGCGGACTTCAGCACGGTGTGGGGTTGTTGCTGCTCACCCTCTGTCCAACCAAATGTTTACAAGCTGCAGTGGGGTTGGTATTGCTACGATAAAGCCCCATTGTGGGTGTTTGCAACATTCTTTAACTAAAGATTTATTTTCCCGGGTAAGGTTCCATTTGAACAGCAGGAGCCAACATCAGAGAGCTGGAGAGAGGACTTGCTCCTTCCCTGGCACAGCGCACCTTCACCCCTGTCCCTTCACCATCCCCTCTCACAATCCCTTCGTTTTTAAAGCATTCAAGCATTAGTGACTGGCATATCGAAGAGGCTGTAGTTAGCGGTGTATTGCCTCAAATTACAGGGGCAATTGATTGAAGGAGTTAAGAGGAGAAAGTCTGTGGGAGGATGGAGCTGGTATCACTGACACAAACCTCTCTCTCTTGATCTCCTCTCCATGCTAAAGCAACCCTGTCTTTAGCCTCCACCTACTTGAATTTTTCCTGTTGGAGGATGTGGGAGGTCTGCTGTTGACCCGTATCCGAGGAAGATAGGAACTAAGCTGGTCTTATGGGCCCCACTGCCTGCTTGGCCTTGGGTGGACCTGCTGGAGAGCAGCTCTGCGGAGAGGGACCTGGGTGTGCTGGTGGACGACAGGTTGACCATGAGCCAGCAGTGTGCGCTGGCTGCCAAGAAAGCCAAGGGAATCACGGTGCGCGCACAGTTCTGGGCTCCCCACTTCAGGAAAGATGAAGAGCTACTGGAGAGAGTCCAGCGGAGGGCTACGAGGATGGTGAGGGGACTGGAACATCTCCCCTACTAGGAGAGGCTGAGGGAGCTGGGCTTGTTCAGCCTGAAGAAGAGAAGGCTGCGAGGGGACCTAATAAATGCTTATAAATATCTGAAGGGTGGGTGTCAGGAGGATGGGGCCAAGCTCTTTTCAGTGGTGCCCAGTGACAGGACAAGGGGCAATGGGCACAAACTGAGGCACAGGAAGTTCCGTCTGAACATGAGGAAGAACTTCTTCCCTCTGAGGGTGACAGAGCACTGGAACAGGCTGCCCAGGGAGGTTGTGGAGTCTCCTTCTCTGGAGATATTCACAGCAGGAGGGTTGGACTAGATGACCCACAGTGGTCCCTTCGAACCCCTACTATTCTGTGATTCTGTGATTTCTGTAGTCTGTCAGGCATGCGAAACTTGAATGGTCATAACCCTCTCTTTCAGCCTAAAAATTTATAAAGATGTGGTTTCCAAAGAAATCTTAATGCAAGTTAGGCACCCAAATCCAACAGAATAAAGTGGGAATTAGGGACCTACCTGCTTTAGTCTGGACTCTTGGGAAATTTTTGACATAATTGTTTACGGATTTCTTTAAATGGCAAATAGGTATTAATGAAAAAGGCTTCATTACTTCAGTGTCACGATTTGATAATTAAATCAGAAATGTCAGGGACACTTCCAATCATAAATTTCATACTTATATTTAAATACAGGAAGCTTGTCTAGTAGTAGTTTTCCCTGTTATACAACATAATTTGAATTCAGCTCAGTTGTTCAACTGAATTACTTAAATATATACATATTTGATCTCTGGTATATATTTGAAATGTGTGTCTGAATAAAATAGAAGTGATACATTTACTATCTATATGATGGCATTGCACACATGAAGTCATATTTATATTGTCTTGAGCTTAGATAAACATGCACAAAAAGTGTATTTACTTGTGTCTCATATTTCTGTCTCTGAGCTGATTTAAGTTGCAGAGAGGGAAGTATTAATTTTTTTGACAGATTTAATCATTGTTAGTAGGCAACTTCAGGGATACAACAGAAACAGAAGGTTTTCACTATAAGGGAATGTCTGTGTTGTATATACAGCACTCTTAATGTCGGAAGGTTCCAAGGTTATTTGACTTCATTTATATTGGGCATCATTATACTTCTTGCGTGTTTTGCCTAATTTATATTTTCCAGAATAAAAGTGTATCTCTTGTACTTTCTCACTCATTGGAAGTCTTTCAGAATTCCTGGCTAATTAAGATACCCAGCTTTACAGAATAAAATATACAAAAAATATTTCTGTATGACATTCTTTGAACAAGATCAGGAAGGAAGGAAGGAAGAAGTTTAATCTCTTCTTTTTTGCTGTTTTAAATGAATTATTTGCCTACGGTGTCTGGCCTTTCCCAAAGGGCTGTCTCCCCTGCTATTACTTACCTAAACATATGCACTAATTATGTAGATATATATATTGAATACACACATATATACAAAACTGTGTGCTCTGAAAGTTTTAAAACATTATGTGCATGTTATTTTAATAAATACAGAAATATTTCTGATTGAATCTAATGAATAATCTCATTGCTCACAATGTACTGGAAGTTTGATTCAGTGAACTGTTTTCACAAGTAGTATCTGGCTTTTGAAAGAAGGTTTGTATACATACGTGTAATGTGGAGAGATCAAAATACTGAAGTTTCATGAAGATAGGATGTGTTTGCTTTAACATCATATTTTAATAACAGTAAGACTTTGTACTTACTGTTATTAAAACAACTTAACTATAATATAGCCACTGGTGTCTTAAAGTCTGGATAAAAACAGGAAAAAAACAATGGCTTTTGCAAAACCATACATTTTGATGTTAATGATCACATGTACTGCAGCAGTGCCTACAGATGGTCTAAGAATGAGATCACGTTTTTCTAGACACAAAGTGGGAGAAAATCTCTGCCCAAACTAATTTGCAATCTAAATGGACAAGACAGATAAATATCGGGAAGGGGGTTTGTTGTACAAGTAAGGTAAATAATGTGACATCAAGTACAGTAATTTTCCCATTTTCTCCAATTTCATTGTTTTGCTGAAACAAAGACTACACAAATAACTTTGGTACATCATTGTAATTTCCCTTTATGTAGAATACTGCAGCAACTACCCTTTTAAGCTGAATTGCACTGGGTTGTTTTAGCAGTTCAAGAATTGTTTTGAATTTCTTCATAAAATTACTGTTGCTTATGTTTAAATGCACCAAGAAAAACAGTTAAGTGTTCTGTAACGAAATATCTTTATGCATATTAGCTTGTCTTAACTATGAAAGTATAAAAAAATAGCTGAGCTGGGTTGGTGGGCAGAAAGGAGCAGAAGTGGCAGAGGAGAAGAAAGATTATAAAGGCTTGTGCCAAAAGATGCTTATTAATATGCATTTGTGTATTAGTCTTTGAGAGAGAACATGGCACTGCAGTCGTTGCTATGGATGTGATGCCCTTGAGTCTTCCCTGGTTACTCTAGTTTTATTTGTGGAAGGAAAAAAAAAAAGGCATATAGGGGGTTAGACGAGGGCGTAGTGACGCTACTGCTAGTGCTATGTGGGAGTCACTTTGGCCGAGAGTCAGAAGAGATTGGTACATGCTGCAACACTGACACAGAGCTGCGTGTCTTCTAAGTGCCAGACCTCAGAACAAAACAAGTCGGAAGTTCGGCGTTAGTCTTCCTGTGCAGCAGCAGCTAATGAGAGAACTAATCACATGGAAGAGCACATTATGTTTTGTGGATTCTCTTTTCATGTGGGAAATCTGAATTTAGGTGTTCCCGCTCAGTTAGATACCTGAGTCTCTTTCGGAAAGTGGGCTTTCTGTTTTGGCTTACTAGTAGAAAGTTGGAGGATCTGAAAAACTTTAAGCAAGACTGTTCTCATCAATAGTAATTCTTTCAGATGAAAGAAAATAAATTGGAAAGTGAGTTCAACGTAAGTTGGATAGGAATACAATGACTGTTGTGTAACAAATCAGCAGTTTCAAGGGAAGAAAAACAAGGACAGAGATTTTCAAAATTCCGTAAGCAATATAGTGAATTTCTAGTAGGAAGGAATGAAGATACCCAAGAAAATAAAAGTATTACACCTGCTAAAATTTTTTGAAAACCCTGTGCAAATGGGAGGTACCAGGATATAAGTATTTAGTAATAAAAGAAGGGAACAGTGAATGACATTTACGATTCACTGAGTTTATGAGGCTGCGTGTATTTCAGTGTCTCAGTACCACAGTTGTTTTTTGGGAGAGATGTATGTATGGAGTCCCCATAAAATCAAAACAATAATGCCAAGACACAGTAATCTTTGTTCATAAGTGTTGCTGTAGCATTATGGTTTATAGTAATGCTTTTCTATTTGGGTATTTAACTACAGTGCTGTAATGATTAAAGTCATCCTTCTCAGATACAGAGTCTGTGAAACAGGAATTGAAAATACTTTGTGGAAATGCAACTAAGAAATTACACGCAGCTTAATAGTTTTTGTATTAGTAATCTGCCTATTCTTAGTTTCCTAGCCTTCAGGCAGAGAAGCAATCAGTATGGTCGTCTGAACTGTAGCTATTAAGCATGATCTCTTTAAGAATCTTGCAAAACTCACAAGTTAGGAAAATCTTGGATTTACTTGCAGTCTGTCAGAAATTGTTGCTTTGCCTTTGTGCAGTGTTTTTGATACAATGCTATTTCTTGTGACTTGTGCCCTGATTTTGTTTGCTACCACAAGGAGTCTTTTGTGTCAAACAAAACCTTGCGGTTAATTTTCTGCTAGGTCTTTTCATGAAAAAGGAAGGTCACGGCTTACAGCGTTTGTATTGTCACTGCAAAGGACTGTACAAACTGTTCCATGGACCAGGATGTTTCTGTGATTAACACTTGCTATGTGCTTTTTAAAGTAATATTTTTCTTTTTACAATTTCAGTGCCCTGTGTGTTATTTAGGCACTTATGTAACATGCAAATCACATTTGTGAGGATGAATTACAAAATTAGCATAATTTATGCATCCATAATTAACATGAAGTTAAGATCAAGTAGAAAGACACATTGAAATATTTTAAAGTATGTTCTTTACAGCTGGTGCTAACATCAATTTAGTAGTAAAATAGTATGGTATTTAAGTGAGACTTTAGTTTAATGCATGCTCATCTACAATTAGCAGTTGCAAGTACCAGTGCAGATTTTTACTTATCACTTACCCACATAGTTCTCTGTACCTTAAATATTTTAATATGTGGGCATGATACAGTGATTTGACATTTTACAATTTGTCCTTTGTTTGCATGCAGCAAGGAGTTATGGGCGAAGACGAGGTAATTCACTTCTGTTTGTTACAGTACAATTAATTCTGATTGAGCTGTTACTGATCATTATGATTAATCCTGATTGTTGATTATAAATGCTTATCTGCATGTTGTCTTTGGGGAAGATGGAGGGTGTGAGGGAAGGAGGGGTTCAGTCTGGATTGTCATGATCATTGATCTCTTTTTAGAGTTTAAATTACAAATCCTTTAATCAGTTAAAACACTGTAGTTCTACTCATAATTTAGATCATGCTAATGCTACTGCTTGCAGTCGTTGCCCCCTTTATACACTTTGCTAGTTGTTCTTCTAACTCATCTTTCTTTCATGAATTTAACAAGAAATCTAGTAGACAACTTTTGGAAATAGTGTGAGCCAATAGATGCTCAGTGACCTTGGAAAAGCTACACTGATTTAGCTATATGTGGTTGTTAAAAAGACCATGTAAAGTGTGCAGCAAAACCAGCACGATCTCTGATAGCTTCCAGTGTTCACAACATACACTCGTGTCTCTCTCTGGATCTCTGCCCTGGTCCATAACCAAGTAACAGTTGGTAGCCCGAATGTAGAGAAGGAACGATGATCTAGATCATGGTCAGTGTGTGTAACAGTACAATCATCTGTTGACAATTCCTCACAGATTCTGCTTAATTCTTTTCACTGTCATAAAACAAAAAGAAACAAGTGTTTAAAAGGCCTTATCCTTTTAATTCACAGTCATCAGGAGAAATGTGAAAGCCTAGCACATTACCTTTGTGCTCTCTTCATCTGAGAGGCATTTGGAGGTGGAGGGAGAAGAAAGTATTAGGAGTCATGTAGCGCGTGTTACTCTGTGTTAATCCATTGTCCTCCATGTCATCTTAGCTCTCTGAGGAGCTACAGTGCTTTTGGCAAACCTTTACCCACGTTACAGTAAAACTGATCTCTCCAGTTTTGCTTCAGAACATGTTCTGATGGCTGAATTTGTAGTGGGAAGAGAGCCTTAAATTCTCATTCTTAGATTTTAACATTAGTCTGTGGATAAAAAATAAATTATTCTGAGGATTATTCTTTGGTTATTTTTTTCCCCTTATATATACTTGTATATATGGTAAGTTGGAATTGTCTAAAAAGTACTTTTAGAGAAACACAAAAACATAATTGTCATGGTCCGAAGAGACATCTTCCTGAAGTATAAATTATGTTTTTTTTAAAAAAACAGAACAAAAGCTGAAAAACAAAAACCCTACACTTAAATGGGGACAAACTTCTTAGCAGGGCCTGTTGTGACAGGACAAGGAGTAACGGTTTTAAATGAAGGGAGGGTAGATTTAGACTGGATATAAGGAAGAAATTTTTTGCAATGGGGGTGGTGAAACACTGGCAGACAGGTAGTGGAGGCCCCACCCATGGGAACATTCGAGGTCAGGTTGGACGGGGCTCTGAGCAACCTGGTCTGGTTGAAGATGACCCTGCTTGCTGCAGGGGGGTTGGGCTGGATGACCTCTAAAGGTCTCTTCCAACCCAAAGCATTCTATGATTCTATGAAATGCTTTTATGTCAATATTCAAATGCCAACAAGTTTACTACAACTGGCATGTTTTTAAGTCACTTAAGTTTCTTTTTTCCTGCGGTATAGAGACTTGCACAGGTAAAGAGCAAATCTCTGTGCTTTTTGTAAGGATAACTCAGCTAAATGACAGTCATTGTAGATTTAAGATATTAAGAATAACTCTCATATGTTAGTGAAAATTCTTAAAATTTCCACTGTTGCAGTTTCCTGCAAGTTCTTCCAATTTAAGTCTTATTTCTTTAGCCACTTTTTCCTTTCACTGACACTATGATAACAGCTCCATCTTCTCCATCATTCCCATCAGTAATTGAGAAATCCGTTGTTATATCCCCCTTTCTTGATTGTGTAAGAAAATTTTACCACTTCTTCGTAAACATCTTTAAGATTGGATCATTCTTATTAATCTTCGTTACTGAAACTCCTATCAATATTACTCAGCTGCTGCAGTCTTCATAGCACGATCTTGCTCCTCTTATGTCTACATAGATGATTTGCAAGAAGAATCTGCCTGGCTGCTTCTTCCAACTGTGTGAACTTTCTTTTTCTCCCTTGCTTCCTCACTTTTCAGCCCCATTGAGCACCACCTACATGCTTCCGCTTCTAAAGGCACACTACTGATCTGTCATCTAGCTGCTGAATGTATCCTGATGATAGGAAGCAAGGATGCCATCACTTGCTCCCCCCTAGGCATACTCTCAAACACGCATTATCGCCATTCTTAATGGAAAGAAGGAGCCTGCTACAGCTTTCTGCATTTGCTGTACTCCTGTCCGTCGGATGCCTACTTGAGACATAAATGTGGAATGCTGCCATAAAGATGTTATTGTTACTTAGTACAGTCCTGTGGTCCTGCTTTTATTTTGTGATCCGTGTGACATTCTGTTACGTTTGGTTCTTCTCTGTCATGTTGTGTTTTCATTTGTTTCTTTTAATGTACTGTATTTTTATTATGGATTTAGATACCCAGTCAGGGTCATTAGGCATTACCACAACATGGGTTATTGGTCATGATGTTTGCTGTCTGTTCTCCAGCCGTGTCTTTAAGCACTTGATTCTCAGGTGGTCTTTTGGAAGTGAATGGCTTCCATACTGCTCTCCCCCTGAGCTGATGAGCACAGTGTCTGCAGGTGTTCCTGCGGGGCTTTCCTGGTAATACTCCTCTGAGAGGGGATGAAAGTTACAGACTGCGGTATGGCTCACAGCTGTCAGGGACCTGCTGCTCCTATATACGGATTTGCAGTAGCTGAATCTGGAAGAAGCTGGCTATTTGAGAAGGAAAATTAACTTGCTTCCCAAAAGTGTGCTAGGTTGTTTTTTTGTTTTGTTTTCTTGCTTGTTTTTGAAAAGTGGTTGAATTAATTAGTAATTATTTAAAAAATGAGTGAGAGAGAAACAGGAAAAATTACACTTGAGAAGGAATGGTCATGTGGGGTATTGATTTTTGCTTCACAAAAATGTTTCTTTTGGGGCTTTTTGCAGTTAAAAGACCGAATTCCAGCAGGTCGAGGGAGGTTCTCCTCCTCCTCTACACTGCCCTAGTGAGGCCCCATCTGGAGTACTCTGTCCAGTTCTGGGCTCCCCAGTTCAAGAAAGATGAGGAGCTACTGGAGAGAGTCCAGCAGAGGGCTACGAGAATGATGAGGGGACTGGAGCATCTCTCCTATGAGGAGAGGCTGAGGGAGCTGGGCTGGTTTCAGCCTGAAGAAGAGAAGGCTGCGAGGGGATGTTGTAAATGCTTATAAAGATCTTAGGGATGGGTGTCAGGAGGATGGGGCCAAACTCTTTTCAGTGGTGCCCAGTGACAGGACAAGGGGCTATGGGCACAACCTGAAGCATAGGAAGTTCTGTCTGAACATGAGGAAGAACTTCTTCCCTCTGAGGGTGACGGAGCCCTGGAACAGGCTGCCCAGGGAGGTTGTGGAGTCTCCTTCTCATTCAAGATGCGCCTGGACAAGGTCCTGTGCAGCCTGCTGTAGGTGACCCTGCTTCGGCAGGAGGGTTGGACTAGATGACCCCCAGAGGTCCCTTCCAACCCCGAACATTGTGTGATTAATCTTTGTGTTGCTAATCTAATCTAAAGGACTGAAAGTTTGAATAAGATCAGGTGCATATCCTGGCCTTCTGAGTCTTTTTTTTTTTTTTTTTTTTGAGTTCTCTAAAATTTGTAAATATGAAATAGGGGGGAAATAAGTTGGAAGTAATACTATGTTTTCACTCCCTCTTGCCATCTATACATCTGTTTTGATCAGTTTGCATTTTCAAAGCCATCCTGTGAACTTCTCAGATTTTACACTTGCTTTTCAGGATAACTGTAATCTTACTGCAGATTGCCACATGTTAGGAACCACCACAAGGCTTCCCTCCAACACTGTGGTAAACTTGAGAGCCAGAAGGATAAATAGCACTGTGATTAATTTTTCAAGTGTTACGTGTTGCACAGTGATTAAAATTCTCTTTTGCTTTCTTAGAAATTAAATCTGTTCGTACATTATCGGCATCAGATATCTTTAAAAGAGAAGAGAAGACATACCTGTTTGAAACTTCTTGCTGTGTACATGTTTTTTCTGTTTCCATCTGTTCAATTAAAGTGTAAGATTTTTAGACATGCAGTAGTCATTCACATGGTGGAAGTTATCAATTTAACTTGAAGCTAAACCAAAGGCAGACTAATGAAACTAGCTTAAGCAGCCCTTAATATGATCTCTTAACTTAAAAATATGATTTATTTATGATATATTTTTTTTTTAAGTAAAGGGATCATATTAAGCAGCCTTTAATATGATCCCTTTACTTAAAAAGAAATTACTACTTTCCTACTGGATGCAGCAGAGTAACTACAGTGTAATGTAGTATGAAGTATTATGCTTACAGCGATGTTGGCTTGCAGTCTTGAATTTCCTTTTTGAAATTTAATACATTTTTCATTTTCTTAATTTTTCTTTAAACTAATGTGTACATTTCTAATATCTTGGTATTTTCACTTTTACTTTCCAGACTGCTCTTCCCCCATTCCCTAAAATTACATAACCATGTACTGTAACAAAATTATTTTAATTTATATTATTATCTTTTCTTTTTAAGGCCGTTCTTCCCTCTTCCCAATAGATGATGGTTTGCTGGATGATGGTCATAGTGATCAAGTTGGAGTCTTGAATTCACCTACCTGCTATTCAGCTCACCAGAATGGAGAACGAATTGAGCGTTTTTCTCGGAAAGTGTTTGTTGGAGGTCTTCCACCAGATATTGATGAAGGTGAGCTGCCTGAAAACTAAACAAACTAAGTTTGGAGGGAGAGAGAAGGAGAAATTTTGAAAACAACTAAAGGAAGTAGTAGAAATAATCCACCCAGCAAAATAATGTTGTGGTGTAAAAAGCCACAACTATGTATATTTTTAATGAGAGCTGATGGATGTGTTGAGCTTAATATCATTTGATGTTATCCATCTCTTTTGTTTTTGAGATGGTTCAGTTGTCTCTTATTCTGCACTTGCAGATTGTGGAGTTCCATGTGACGTCTGGAATTTGTGCCCCTGCTTACCTTACATACTCCTTTCAGATATATATTAGCCCTTAGTGTCCTCCGTCTGTGCTTGCTTTATTCACTTTTCACAGAAAACTTCTATGAGTAATTGAATTTCAAATTCTACTTTACTATTACCTGAAGATCTCAGAAGTGGTTTAGAAAGGTTAATATTATTCCTGTTCATAAATAGAGAAACTAAGATAGAGGAAGGTCAAGTGGCAGAGCACTCTGTCATGCACTGAACATGGAATATGCCACAGAAGCTCGGATTGTTACATGATGCAGTTCGAATTGCTTTGTACAATAGTGCAGATTCGAAGTAATCGTGCTGTTTAATATTAGATTTCTCCTGTGCAGATAAATGTAAATTACATGCTAGCTCTGTAATGTAAACAGAAGCCCCTTGACAAGGTTCATTGTAATCCTAGAGCAACTTGCAAACCAAATAAGCTGACTGTGGTTAATTAACTTTCAGACATGGAAAGACCGTATTTTGCTTTCATCTTCATTGTGATGCTCTCCTGCGGTGTACTAAGGGACTTAACTTCAGCTTTTTTTTGGTGCACTTCAGCTTCTAATTCAAATGTGCACTGTTGCTTTTTAATACAAATGCTAAACAAAGACACATGGAGATATATTTTGTTTCTTTCCTGACTGTTTATATGCTGATGGCAGGACGCAACTGCAAGAAATGGAGCATATTTGTGTTTGATAACGTACTACTCTTGTAGAGTTTAGAGTGATTTAATTTTTTTCCTCAAGGCCAAGGTTCTCACAGTCAATGACAGGAAGGAGTGGCTGGAATAGAAAGACATCACGAAGTTGTGCGGGAGGCATAGTAGATCTTACAACATGGCTATTCATGGTTATGTTAAAAGCGGCTCTAAACAGCCAATTTGAAGTTTCTGTGCCTGATCTGTGCATGGTATCTATTGGAAACTGCTAGCATTCTAATTGTAGCGGTACTTATTGTGTGAGTATCTACTTACAAAGCTCTTAACTGTACATAACTAAACAGTAAATTGTTTTGATTGCATTCAAAACAGATTCTGAATTTAAGGAAGTACCACGCCAGTTTTCACCACTGCTTTTAGCTGCCCGTATGCTTCTGAAATGCTCCTGTCACTAAGCAGTAAAAAAATAAACATAAGCTTAAAATCACCAGAAATATATTGTTTAAATATTAACACTTTGGAAGATGTGTCTGTTTAAGTTTTTTGTTCATGAAAGTTGGAAATTTTGTTGGTTTTTTTTCCTTGAAATGTGAACTTTTGCTAGGAACAAAGATCTTTGCTTGATAGTACTTTTTCATTGAGCTATGTATTTTATTTTAATTGCAACTACTATACCTGTTTTTAGATGAAATTACTGCTAGCTTCAGACGATTTGGGCCTTTGGTAGTAGACTGGCCTCACAAAGCAGAAAGCAAGTCCTATTTTCCGCCAAAAGGTAAGAGACTTGGAAGCTTTTGATCTGTCACTGACAGCAAATCTTACTGTGGGAAACTGTGTCATCTTTTTCCAAGTGATATAATTTGCAATCCCTGTGAATAGTTAATTCCACAGTTTCCGTGCAGGTTCAGACATGGATCCTTTACATACCAAGTCTAAAACCTGAGAGTATCGTTTTAGTATTGTACCTGGTTCAGTGCTGGACTCCTGAAGGATCTTCCATATTCTGATTTCCCATATATCAGATCAGCCTGATACAGTTGTATGTGTCATTAATCCGAAGTTCTGTATTTGCATTTCTATATGGTTTCCAAAACTGAAATTTGGTCAAATTTTCAAGACTAAATCTTAGATAAAAATTTTTCTAGGAAGTTACAGGCAGGATTCAGAAGAATGCATTTGGGTATCTGATCAAGAATAATCAATGTTATGTTTATTTCAGTTTTACGATGTAAACATCCTGTTGAAGCACTAATTCTCTTTTTTGATAAATTATTAAATGTTGATTTTTAACTATTTCTAGTGTTGCTGTTAGACTAGATTTTTTAATATCACTTACAAAGTGTTCGAAAAGCCATTCTGTACATTAAGTAATTAAATTATGTGGCATATATCTGTACATGTACGATCATGTATTGGTACATATAAAATAAAAGCAAAAATCTTATCCAGATGTGAAAGCAATGCAGAGATTATTCATTTTATGGAGAATGCAGCCGTTCATGCCTTCCCTGGAAGGGACAAAAGTAGGCATAGTGCCCTTATAAAATGATTCTTCATTTATTTATCTGTCCATCTATGCTGAGGAAAAGACAATATTATTATCCCAGATGGTCCTCTAAAGAGTGCGAAAAGGAGTTGAAAGTATTTGAATAGTATTTATGAGCACTACATGGAAATTCTAAGACAAAATGACTTTGGCTTTTTTGGTTGTCATCCTGATACACAAAGCTGCTGTCAAGTTAAATTTTATTATCGTAAGGAGTATGTCTCTCTTCATGTATTATCAAGCGAAACTCTTGAGGAACTCTTTGAGGAAGGTGCATCTCACAGAGTCTGTGATGAATATATAGAAGAGGGAAGATGTAAGATATTCTTACCTGATTGGAATGGATTCTGGCATTCTTTTCCAAGGACATAGTCCTGTCTCTGCATCTGAACATCTTAAGGATAAATTTCCAGAGTTCATCATTTAATAAAGCAGTCTGATATATTTTGAGTATTTATAATTACCACAGTAGAAAAAAAAAATTAAAAAAAAAATCTGTATTGTAAGCAAAGCATCTTAAAAGCAGAGAATATGGATAGAAGAACTTCAGTCTGCTGATCTAATTAATTCAGGAAACACGAACTAAGTGTTAAGTTGATTTGCCATGATTAACTGATCCTTATTTGCACTAATAGCACTTACTGTTCTTCACTCTTAAAACTTTATTCTAATTTTCAGTTTACTACATTATTCAATATTGTTTTGTAGTGTAGCCTATCACATTTAAAATACAATATAGGCTTCTCTTTGTAGATACTCCGGAAATATAGCTTACTGTTAACTGCTGAATATTACTGTGTTTACATCTTCTTTTTTCAGTACAATAGATATGGCCCATGATTATTTTGTAGAAGAATTTCTTAAAAATTTGTCTTTCAGAAGTATTATTCGTGTCTGCAGGAAAGAACCCATGTATACATAATATTTACTAAGATGTCTGAAACTGCTAAAGATAGGCTAAATACTAAGAAAGCTTTGAGATTGATCAGTATTAGCAATTTAAAAATATATGCTATATTAATCCAAAGAGAAGGCGTTTTTTTCCCAGCTTTTAATCTCCAGTTTCTAATTTGTTGCTCTGCATGGAGTCAATTAGGTGTATATATTTTTGTTTGTTCAGTCTCATTAGAGATTTGACATAGTAATACTTTCCAAAGACATCTCAGAATTACCCAGTTCTGGACTGATTTACGTAATAGTCTTCTCTGTGGTGACGAGATACAGCCTGCTTTTTTTTTTTTCCACTCTTGTTCAGTTTTCCAGGCTGTGGTTGCTTCCAGGCTCTCTGCTTACAGAAAGTCCTGAGGGAAGGCCAAGTTCATAAGAAGTATTTCCTTGCTTAAAGAAATGCAAGAAGTGTCCTGATCCATCAAGGCTGGCTGCCTCCTGAGAAACACCAACTGTTTGGTGTTAACTAATTACAAGTTGTATTGTTTCACCACAAAATTAGGCCCAAGAAAAAAAAAAAAAGGAATTTTAAAAACTTCACACTAATCTTACACGAAAACTCTGTTCTAAAGCAGAAAAAAATTACTCTGTTGAGATCAAAGTGCAAAGTCTGTAAATTATCTGCCAACTGTAATGGAGAATTCCTTGCTTTCTGACTTGCCACTGTTTATCATAACTCCTGTTATTACGTATTTGGCAAATATACTTATTTATGAAACAACACACATGTCCAAAGCAACTTGCTGAGATGAGGACTCCTTATGATAAGGAAGCTCCCAAAGAAATGATGCCGTGAGAACACCACGTCCAAACAACACCTTTCAATATATGCCCAGTTGTTTGTGTGCTCTGTGTTATTTATAGTCCCTATCAAACAGAGGATAATCTGGTTTACACAGGACAGTATCCCCAGCCTTTTCTAATTGTCTGGGTGTTTCTATTGCCTTCTATCACAGTAGTTGTGCAGTAGATTCCTTTATTCAAGGTTCTTAACTGCTAATTTAGAACTGACTGAAAAAAATAGGTTGAAAATGTTCTGTTTCTAGTTTAAGAAGCAAAATCCCAGGTCCATCCAAGTTCTGTTTTAACTTGTTAACAGGTTATTTGATCATACTGGGTAGGACTGAACTCTGGATTCAGGCAAGTAACTGTAGGTGTCTTCATGTGTGATTAGTGTCTAAGCTTCCTTTAATCAATAGGAATCTGGCCAATACAGTCAGTGGAGTACAGAGGGCTACTCAGGTTACTGTAACATAAGCACGTTGAGCTTGAGTCATTTACCCAAACTGAGGATATCTGAAAGATTTACACAGGTCTGGCAAATGTGACGCAGCACCTGTTGAAGCCATAACAGTGCTCTGGAGCACAAGCTGAAGGTTAGGCAAAGTACTATAGAGGATAAATGGTGCTAGACACCTCCGTGTCCCGCTTGGTCAGCTGAGTAACCATCCAGGTGCCACTGACTGCATTAAGGGGATCTCTGTACTACAGGAGGAGCTTAAACACAGGCACTGCAGAAATAAGAAAATAGGTGTTTGGATCTTGAAGTGAATCCTGCTCCACCCTACTCAGAAGTGCCTAACCTAATAGCTGTGTTACAGTTGTATCAGCCTGCATTTATTCACTTCAAGTGCATATTGAAGTTAATTCTCCGTCAAAGATGACTAAAATGAAGGAGTGAAAGATTTATGTTTTAAAGATTAAATTTAATTAATATGGTGATGAGATCTCTTTAAAGAGGAATAGGTTAAATGTTGTGCGCCCTTCCCAAATGTGAATTATTCCCATTGTGAAATGTAGATCCGTTGTCTGTATTAACCTGCAGTTTACACCGATTCTTTCTGACTGAAGCTAAGGCACAGCATTCTGTGTGCAAGAGTTGCTCTGGACTGAGGTCATTCAGTCTCCTCTGGGGAGAGTCTGTCAGGACAGTAGAGGAACCAACCTCAAAACGAAATACAGCTGTACTCACTGGCATGGACAGTGCCATGCTGGCTTGCACTTAGTTTCTTGGCTGCTTCTCTAAGCCACTAGCGATGGGAGTTAACCGGAGTTTGATAGAACTTAAAGCTACTCTTTGACTTCTACACAGAATGTGCATAGCAAAAGAAACATCCTTTCTCCTTTTGGTAAACTTCTATATTGCTATGAAATAAAGAAATTATACCTTCTCAGAAAATCATGTTAGATACCAATGTGAATCTAGTCTAAAATGCTTTGCTTTTGATTTGTTCTTTATGAAAAAAGTACAGAAAAGGAAGACACTCATTCTGTGTATAGGCTGGGGGAGGGGAGTTGTTGGTTTTGAGTTTTTTAATCCTTACAAAGGTTTAATTTGGTAATACAGCTAGGACTCTTCAGACTTACCGGATGGGCTTTCTGTTTCCAGTGCTGGCCCAATACATTACTTTATTTCTTGGTCTTGTTAAGAGAGATGTCAGCTCAGAGTTTGGGTGGTTATAACCAATGCAGTATCTTTAGGTACCAGTGTAGTTCTAAAGCCAGTTATTACTGAGGTAATTTTCAGAGGACAGGAATTATCAAAGTTACCAACACTAGTTCCCTTCGAAAATGGGAGCATTAGTAATAGTTCCAGTGTTATGTAGAGGAATTTATGTGATTAACCCTAACAGGGATTACCTAAATGTAGTCTCCCACAGGAGGCATAAATTGTGGTGGGGGTGCACATGAACAAGAAATTTTTATAAGGCTGTGTTTCATCTAATACTTTCCACCTTGTGAAATATGTACTAAACATACAAGCTTTGTCTCTTGGCAAGTAATATCTGATCATGACCTGCTACTGTTGTTGTACATATGACCCAAAGGTATGAAGCAGCTTCCTTCAAAGAAATATATTGGAGTAGCTTTACTTTTACATTGTGAACAGACTTGCATTGCTGTTGGTTGTGAAGCTGTTAAGTGTCTGTTGTGGCACACCAAAGAAACAAGAAACAAGGGAGTTAAGCTGGTTTGTAGTACAGTAAAACACCTCCTACTCTTCACCCTGCCTCCCCACCATGTTTTGCTGTGACATGTACTTTCTATCACACATGGTAATTGTAGTTCAGTACTACTCCAAAAAGACTAGGTAGGCACTTGATCTTTTTCATCATACTTAAGCACATGACTTACCACCACCGTACTAGCTTTGCAGACATGAAACATGCACAATAGTTCATGAGTTATGGATATTGAGGTGAAAAATAATCCAATAAAAGCATATATTGAGAAAGCAGAAGGGAGTAAGATTAGTGTTTGTGCCATACAGTTGTTGGCATGTGGTAGCTGTAGTAACAAGAAAAGCCCTAATTTTATGATGTCTAAAGGAAATACCTAATATAAGAGTGTGATTTTGCTTTGCAAGCACTTTCTAGCTAATGAGTGTAGGCTGGTTGCCTATGTAACTGGTGTTCTTTGGAGGAGTCTAGGGCTAAGCTAATGTATAATTGATTTGTGCCAGGAAATGTGCCCCCCTCCATGGCAAGTGATGGAGAGTGGTTTGTATGCAGACTGCGCAAGTCTAGCATTCTTTGAAAGGGATTGGCTGTGTCTGCATATGGCTATAAAATGTGAGACCTGAGCAAATTACCTTCTCTAGGCAGGTTTCTCCTCCAGGAGAACTGGTTGTTTTTCTCCAGACTGGGCTTGGAGAGCGAACTAAAACGCCTTGTAAATCACTGAAGGACTAGAGCTGTGGGGCAAAACTGCAGCCAGACCAATTTGTTAGTACAGACTATACCCTAACTTTCTCGGTGTCTTCAGAAGGGGAATAGTACAGATAAGCTCATGAAACAAGCCTATCTGATGCTCAAAATGGAGTGGGATGAAATCAGACATGAGTACTTGTTTTGCAGAAAACATTGAGAAAGCGGTATTAATGTGTAGTTTTTGTATTATTCGCCTTACTTTCATTTCAGGTATGGTAGGATATAGTATTCCTAACTGTTCCCTCATCAAGTTGCTTATATTTGAATTTTCAGTCTTTTTACAAGCTTACACAGTTAAGCATATTACTAGCTGCAGCCTTACAGGTCATAGATCATTTAGAGATACTGACCATATTTATGTACCAGGAGGTATATGGCAGTACACTTGCTTTGCTTTAGGATATAAACTGATGGAAAATCAGCATCTGGCAAACTATTTTATGTGCTTCTGGCTGTGAGTCTTTCTTTATATGTCTGACCCCCTAGTCAGTATCATGTGCGTTTAGCCCTCCCCTTGCTTAATCAAGTTTTTGCACTCTCATCATTCGTGTACTGAGCTCTCCATTCAAACAGGAATGTGTGTACCTGGCTTCCACACAAGTAAGGACAGTTACAGGGGTCTGGTCTCACTGACCCACGCCAGTCTGCACATGCCCTCATTCAATGAATGAGTTTTGCATGGGTGATACATGGATTTTAAATTCTCAGATAAATACTGGACGATATCCCCATTAAAACAGAAGAGTACTATCATTTCCAAAAGGCTTGTAAAGCAACCACATTCCCTCTTGTCAAGCCCACTCAAAAGCAGGTGCTTCAGCATTTACTTTTCCATCCAAGTAATAACACATAACTTCATGTGGAAATTCCACACTTGCTAGTAATCTCAGAAAGAAATGTTGATTTATGGTCCTTTTAAAGTTCATTTTAGTATACAACCCTAATTGCACTATCAGGCACCTGTAAAGTAACAAGTTTTGTATATATTATTATACTGTGGGTGTTAAAGTATTCTAACGTGAGGTTCTTTGCTGGTCTAGCTGCTTGTTTTTACTGTAGCATTAAATAAACATTTTAATTCCTATTTTTGTAGTGTTTGGGAGGTTTTCTGGGTCACTTATGTAACAAAGTGCTTTGATCTAATCTCTAGAATAGAGATTAGTCGTTTGTGCCAAGTCGGATTTTCCTTGTATAATGCCCGTTGCTGCCAATGAATTATGCTCAGCCTAGACTTCCAGTACATGACAGAGGAGACACGTTTGCTTTTATTTGGTTATTTGTCTCTCTTGACAATTACTTTAAAGGGTAGAAGTATTTGCCTGGAGTTCTGTTGATCATGGCAAGGTAGTACATAGTTAAAGAAGATGACTAATAACAAAGAATTGGTTTGACTTCTACTTTTGGAGTAAACACATTTGTATGGAAAAGTCACTGGCAAAGATGATTAAGAAAGATGAAGATAAGAGAAAAATATATCAGTTTTTCTGGTTTTTCTTGCAGGTTACGCATTCCTCCTGTTCCAAGAAGAGAGTTCTGTTCAGGCCTTGATTGACGCCTGCATTGAGGAGGATGGAAAGCTCTATCTATGTGTTTCCAGTCCTACTATCAAGGACAAGCCAGTAAGTAAACAGTAGATGGCCTGCAGGCTACAGCTGCCATCTGTCTAAAGCTGCATTTGAATTGATGACGATGAAAATAATCAAAAGCAAACTACCGTTGGCAGAGTTCAACATCTGGAACAGTTGGATGATTTTAAAATTGGAATGTTCTGAATTAATAGGATTAAAACAGAGCACCTAGACATGTTAAGCTAATGGGGTTATGACTGTTTGACAGTTTGTAGAGGCTGATGAACGTATATCCACAATACAGTGAAACTTGAAGTAGCATACTGTTTTCTTTCCCAATTTAATAGGTTCAGATCCGTCCCTGGAATCTAAGTGATAGTGACTTTGTGATGGATGGTTCCCAGCCGCTTGATCCTCGAAAAACAATTTTTGTTGGAGGAGTCCCTAGACCATTAAGAGCTGGTGAGTGTGATCTGTGGCTATTTTTAAAAGTAGGAGATTACTGAATATAATTTGAACCATGCACATTTTTGTGTAGTTATGTATGGATAGATGCAGATATGTACATACAAATATAGAAGACTCGTCATGATAGTTATAACCACAGCACAATATTCATGTGTTCTTACATTTCTCTAGTAACTGTTTTCATCTGGCTTTGGCCATAAATCGCTGTTCATCGTTGAGATTTCCTGGAAACTGTTTCATGTCTAAAGCTGTAGAAAAGATTTTGATCATATTAGCAAAACTGTGATGTAAACTATGTCATGGAAGAGTTTGTTTTTAAAATAATGCTATGAAAACCTTTCTTCCATGCTCCATGAGTATGTGGAGCTCTGTTTGTGCTTGCTTGTCATTGTGCATTAACTACTTTTGTGTCAAGTTGCAGTTACTCTTGCTAATATGGACAAAGCACAAACATAGGTGATGAAGGAGTTAGAAACAAAGGAAGAAATTCGGAGAGCTAGCACAGTCTGTATGGCACAACACTATATGAGACTGCAGAAGTCTTGAAGGGAAAGGGATGAAGGGAAAATTAAATGTTTCTATGGCTGTGGAATGATTGATCTATGACCTGGAGAGTGTGCTTTGTGAGACTGACTGCAGTAGCCTTTTACGATATTTTATGGTAGCCTTCTAGTGAGTGGGTTGAGTGAACGTTAGAAGTAGAAACATACAGTGGTTCAAATCCTGTTTTCTATTGGAATGACTCCTGGACTTCATTAGTTTTCCACAGTTTGTAATGAATTTTATTCTTACAGAAATATGAGCTTCCAGATGGAAGATGTAGGAGAACCAAGAAGTAATGGTGCAGATTTGAGATATAAAGAATCTTAATTTTTTCTGTCTTGGACCTGCAATGCTCAGGCATTTCTGTTATTTTGAGACTGTACTTCAGACTGTAGTACAAGCTCTGTAAATGAGCATAAACACAGTATGTTCCAACTGCAGATTAATTTTTCTTTAAATTCAGTCCACATACTCCAGATTACTGTGCTGAAAGTCTGTGATAAATTTAATAGATGCATTCTTATGCTTAGCTTTCAGATGCCCTGTATATGTGAAAATGAAACTTCTATGGCATTGTGAAATAAGAATCATGCCTTCGCAATAGGAGTAAAACTGTAGGGGACTTCTCAAACAGCTATTGAACATCAGTGACTACTCACACCTTTACTCCCTAATACGTTAGTATTTTCCACCTAAAGAAGTTGCAAAACTGAGTTCAGTATAGAATATTACTAGAGGCTTGCTAAAATACTTGGTCTGTAAAATTTGAGATTTTTGTTTCTATGAACTTCAGTATCTATGGTAAGTGTAGCACTGTAGAGATAATCAAGCTCTGTGTGACTGATGAAAAGATGCTAACTACATCTTTATATTCAAGTAGGACATAGAGCATTAGGACAGCCGGAGAACATGTACCAAGGAATCTGTGGCATGTGGATCTATTTTATACAGCTTACATTCCATGCCTGCCCAAAAAGTCTTTTGCAGTAATCCCCTGAAGAAAACTGCCCTGGAATTTCAGTTCCAGGTTATCAAGGACTGCAAAGACTTACTGTTCGGTTGTTCCTTGGATGTGTTTACCCACAGTGTGAAAGATCTGTCTACTGAGTATTTCATAGCTTGTTTAACATGCTTTTATATTATTTTATATTTCTTGTTATTACTGTTATATCGGCTGTTGCAAAATTAATTATTAAAATTAACTTCTCCAGTATTTTTTAATAGAAGCATGTTGTATAAGGTTTGTACTGTAAGAACAGTTTAAATGAACGTCATTTTGTTTCTTAATAGTGGAATTGGCTATGATCATGGACCGTCTCTATGGTGGAGTTTGTTACGCAGGAATTGATACTGACCCTGAGCTGAAATACCCAAAAGGTGCTGGTCGTGTTGCTTTCTCCAATCAGCAGAGTTATATTGCTGCCATCAGTGCTCGGTTTGTTCAACTTCAGCATGGCGATATTGATAAACGAGTAAGTTATACAGAAATTTAAAAAAATAAATACAAGAGTGATGATTTATAAAGGGACTTCTCAGGGTGTGGTAACATTGCATTTGATTGGCTTTTATGCCAGCCTCCACATTCTTTTTAGTATTCCTCTAACTCCACTAGTTCCAAGAGTTAAACTGTGAATGCCCCCAAACGAACAACATGCATTCCGCAGAGCAGCAGTTTGTTCCTTGGAAATATCTTAGACCATATGGTCTTTCCATTCTGGAGTTCCTGGTTTTGTTCTGTATAGGCAAAGGGCTTGAAAATCTTTCTCTCCCTTATTGTAATGAAACCAAATCCTGTGATAATTCCTCTGTCATTCTAGTATCCATTGGTTTCAGATTAGCTCTATATTTGCAGCTGCCTTTAATTTCAGCCATAATTATCAGTGCTCAGCACTTCAGAAAATGAATCATGCTCAACACCTAAAATATAAAATGTCTTACCCTTTCTGTTCGAGAGAGTCTTCTGAGTATTTACCAATGTGCATTTCTGGTTGCTACAGATGCTTAGTGCTAACTAAAGCATAACTAACCTTTATTAAGAAGACTAGTCCTTCATTACTCCTAATTAGAAGTATAAGAGTAGCAAAGAGAACTGTGTCACTAGTTTTGCTGTCAAGAGCTGTAGAGGGATTCACTGGTATTAATAGATGTTCTTTAAAAATAAATAAAAAGGTCTTTGAGGAAGAAGGGTTGAGTAAGTAAAGTAGTTCAAGGTCCAGCCTCCTCTACAGATCAAAGACGTGGGAAAAAGAAAGTAGTACAGTTAACAAAAGTCTGCTGCGGGGAGGTAGCATGGACTTCTTTCAAATAGGCAGAGTAATACAGTTTTACATCTGTTTCTCAGATACCAGTTGCCTAGTGAGCTGAAATCCCCAAACGTGGTCCTTCCCAGAGGACGAGCGAGTCTGAATGTGGGTAGTGAACTAGGCTTCACATTAGGATGTGGCCAGCTATGTTTTGCTGGTGGGGTTGCTGTCCTTGTGACTTGAAGCTGACTTTGGCCAGTAGCTCTGCCTTTTGCCTAATTACGTAACAGGAAAAATGTCCTTGATACTGGGACTGTGTGAGGGGAAATAGAACTATTAATCATCTTGCATTTGAGTATTTGGACAAAAGGGGAGTACGGACCAGAATCCAGAACTCCTGCTAAAGACATGCTAAATGGGTCATTTAGCTTCGGAGTCGGGTATAGCTGAGTGTTTCAGGAACCAGCTATAGTGCATTTGGCTGTAAAGTGACTTAAAGAGGTGGGCAATTGGGTCCCATCCAGACTAGATCTCCCTCAAAGGTGGGAGATGCAGACTTGAGTGCTGTGAACTGGGGGGCCCTTACCTCCTGGTCTTCCCATGGGAGTGTCCTTTGCAGTAGGGGAGAATATGGTAGACTGGCAGTGCCATCTCGTGAGAGAAAGGAAGGCATCAACCTGCCTTTGAAGGCTGCACTTCAAAGTATGTTGGTTTGTTGGTTTGGTTTTTTTAATGATAGGTCACCAGAGAGTCGAAAGGCTCTTTGGGTGCTGAGCAGGCAGCTGAAATGGCATTGCTTGCTGCTTGCAAAGAAAGGGATAGAACTAGTTAATGTGTGATACAACACTGAAATACTTAAAGGGAGAAGGGCAGTAAATCTCCAGTAAAACAGTGGGCATGCGCTGCAGGCCTCTTGGAGCTTGGACAGGGGAAAAAAAAAAAAA